TTCCGTGGCCTCGGGGAGTGCTTGTGCGTGAGTGAAGGAGAGATCAGGGGCAGATGACGGTGTATGCTGTCGACAGCGAAGGGAGGGAGATGAGGCTTTATGTCCCCTGCCCCTCACCCACCCGTGCAGCCCTACCTCGAAGCCATAGATATCCAGGATGGCGATGGACAGCGTGTCCTGCTGGGGGGACACCAGTGCGTTGACCCGGGCGATGAGCCAGCCGAAGAGCAGCGCGTACAACACCTTGGCGATGGCGTCTCTGGAGCAGAGATGGTGCTGGGCCAGGTGGGCACGGTGCGGGGGTGGGGGGGCAGGGCTCTGGGGGTCGGGCGGGGAGGAGCAAGGCCTCACCTGGCATCCACGGCACTCTCCACAGTCAGCGGGGTGAAGATCTTCTCTCGCATTGTCTCCTGGGGAGGGATGATGCCCCTGAATGACAGCGGGCTGGCCGCCACCTCCAGGAAGCCCCCGGAGGATTGGGGGGGGCATGGGGAAGAGAGCCAGAATGATGGTGTGACTGGTCTCAAGCACACAGCCGGCCAGGGGCAGAACACACACTCATCCCCCTTCCTCCTGGCTATGCTGCTGGCAGGGGCAGGGCCGCTGGTCTAATGGGGGAGACAGAGGCATAAGCAGACAGACCCAGCGAGATCAGCCTTGGGAAGGGACAAAGGGCCGGGGGCTGTGAGAGCCCAGGGGAGGTAATGACCCAGATATGGGTCGGGGCGGCTCCCTGGATGGGGGGATGCCTGCATCAGGTCTTGAAGGATGAGTACGTGTAGGAAAGGGAAGAGCATTCGAGGTGGAGGGAGCAGCCTACGTCGTCCAAGTGCAGGCAGGAGGCTCTGACAGCTCCGGGGCCAGGGGACTCACGGTCACTTTGAAGGTGATGGCCTTCTGCAGGCCCTCGGGGGAGATCTGCAGCAGCTCGGCCACGGCCTGGATCTCCCGGGCACTCACCACCGAGGCCGTCTCCTGCGCGTCCGTCTATGCCAAATACCAATAGCAGTGTGTTTTAAAGTAGATAACTCAATTTAAAGTTCATATAAAAAACATAAACAGGCTAGAAAAACCAGGAAAATTCTGAGATAGAAGGGGAGTGAAGGGGACCCTACAAGATAGTCAAACACGTTATAAAGTTACAATAATTAAAACACTGTAGAGAACTTTAGGGGCCGTCTGGGTGGCTCAGTCGGTTAAGCGTCTGCCCTCAGCTTGGGTCATGACCTCAGGGTCCTGGGATGGAGCCCAGGGTTGGGCTCCCTGCTCAGCAGGGAACCTGCTTCTCCCTCTCCCTCTACCCCTCCCCCTGCTCGTGCTCTCTCTCTCTCTCAGATAAATAAATAAAATCTTAAACAAACAAAACAGTGTGGAGATAGACACACAACACAGTTTAATGAAGCACAAGAGGAAATCAAGAATTAGGCATAAATGTACGTGAGAATTTAGTACATGATAAATATTTATTTCTTCAATTACAGGATTAGGGTAACTGAATAATTGTATGGAAAAAAAAAAAAGGAACTGGGTTCCTACTTCACACCTTACGGGGATAAATTCCTGACGAACCAAAGATGAAATGTGAACACACACAAACACACCATAAAAAGTTTTGAAAAAAATGATGGGAGAAAGCTGTTACAATTTTAGAGAGATAAGTGTCTCTCTAAAAATGATACAAAATCTAAATTTTATTTAAGAAAAGATTCATAAATAAAATACCTGAAAAATCTACATGGCAAAAAACCAAACCAAAACAGAACCAACCAACCACCAAGCAAAACACCAATAAAAAACAAAAACAAAAAAAACACCTGGATACAAATCAAAATACAAATGACAAGCCAGAAAACATACTGGCAATTCCCATCAAGGACAAAGGGTTGGTTTCCTTCTCATATGTAAAAAGCTCTCATACAACAATAAGAAAAAAAGAGGAGTGACCCCAATGGTGGGGGCGGGGGTGGGAGAGAGAACAAATGAAATGCGCATGGCGTACCCCGGAAAGGCAAATATCCGTGTCCCCCAAGCCTCTGAGGAGATGACCTGTGTCCTGAGGGTGCCAGGGCCCCACGGCAGGCTGTGGGCTCTCTCACCTCGTATTTCTCGAAGTAGACGTTGCCCAGGTGCAGGATGGAGGCCAGGATGCGGAAGATGCTGTCCTGGTCCTCACCACTGAAGCCCAGCACCTCCATAGCGGCCAGCAGCCGGCGGAAGTCATTGGAGTCACTCTTCCCTGAGATCTCACAGTTCCCGCCCTGGCCCAGGGCAGGGGCCGGGTGTCAGGGACCCTGGGCAGGCACTCCAGCTCTGTTCCACCCCCACGGGCCAGGAGGCAGGCCCTGATCAAGTGCTTTATATATGTTCGCTCATCTAGTCGCCACTACATCCCTAAAAAGTGGTCTTATGCTGTCCCCATTTCACAGATGAGGAAACTGAGGCACAAAAGGGGAAGTGCCGTAACTCCAGGCTGCTTAGCTTTGTTCTAGGTTATAGAGAAATGAAGTCAGGGAGGTCTCCTCTTCCCCCACTTTGGACCCTAAAAATGCCTGTCACCCTTGTCGTGATGAGACACTTTAAATCCAAAGTCGTGCCCCCCCTCCCCATCACCTTCACAGGCTGTTAGGACACCATGAGTTGGTTCTCTCAGCCCGCCCAGGGTGATGGGGCAGGGGTGCCAGGCCTGGGGGCCCCTGGATGCCTGCCAGTGCTCACCTGGTTCAGGTAGTAGTAGGTCTCAGCCTCCTGCAGACTGAAGGCCTGCCGCAGCTGGGCGGGCAACCCGGCTAGCAGCTCATAGAAGATGTGGTAGTTCCTTTCGTTTTTGGCCTGCAGGGTGGGTGGGTGGGTGCAGAGAAGGGAGCCACCCACCTAGATGAGCCCCCAACACACATACAAGGCCAGGTGTGCCCGCCCATACGGATACAGGTGAGACCGGGCACCTGGGACGAGTGAGCCCCCAGCCTGGCTCTGACTGGGGCCGGGGGCGGAGAAGTGCTGGAACGCTGGTCAGGATTTAATTTTGTTTGGAGGACTAAGAGAAAGGCAGCCTTTCTTCTCTTGCGCACACCGGGCGCGCACACCTCCACGTGCTCTGTCCGTGGCCCAGATGTGCACACACAGGGCCTCCTGCTGGTTTACTCAGCCAGGGTGGCTGAGCGCCGACTGCACCCCAGGCCCTGGTGTAGGCCCTTGAGATCCAGCGGGGAACAAGGGACACAGAAGCCCTCGACCTCCTGGAGCCCAGCTGCTAGCTCCGGAGATAGACACCCACCCAGCAAGCCGCTGGGGACAATAAGACATGTCCGACAGAACAGAGTGCTCTGGGGAGAAATAACGCAGGGAAGGGGCTGGGGGGTTCTGGTGAGGTGGAGAGGGGCTTCATCTTAAATGGGGTAGCTTCCCTGAGCAGGTGCCATTTCAGGGAAGACTTGGAGGAGATGAGGGGTTGGGTCACGTGGGTGTCTAGGGGGAGGGGTGCTCAGAGGGAAGAAATCGTAGGTACAAAGGTTCTGAGGCAGGATCATGGCTGGTGTTTCAGGGACAAGAAAGGGCCAGTGTGGCTGGAGGGGGTGAGAGAGGGGAGATCACATGCTCACACAGACACACATCCCTGTTCATTAATTCAGCATTGCCCCAGCCCCACCAGGTGCCAGGCTCTGAGTATCTGCCTAGCCCCAGCCCGTCTCAGCACACGAGGGCCCGGGGGGGCCTGTCCCACCTGAAACACAATCCTGGATTTCTCGAGCAGGTACTGGGAGGTTATGGCACCAGAAATCACGCCCCTGGGGAGGGGGAGCACAGTCAGCTTGTGCAGGGTAGGGGGGTGGGTGGGGTGGCTGGCGTGGGCACTGAGGGGCTGCACCAGGACATGGGGTGCACCGCAAGGCCTTGCGGGGCCCCTCCCTCCACCGCCCCACTCACCCTTCCAGAAAGACCTCCACGAACTTCCCGAAGCGGCTGGAGTTGTCGTTCCTGACGGTTTTGGCGTTACCAAAGGACTCCAAGAGGGGTGTTGCCTCCAGGATCTGGACCCCAGAAGATGTGGGAATTGTTCTGGGGGCCTGGAGTAGGGAGCATAGCTAGGGCCACCCCTAGGTTTTCGCAGACACGGACGGACCTCCCCTAGGGCCCCCTGTGTGAGGGGCAACTGCAGGTGGGCTCCTTGTAGAATCCTTGGGTCTCCCCAGTGCCCCCCAACACCCCTCATGCTGTCAACCCCCACATCAGGCCACAGCTACCCTCTCCCAGCCCCCAGCCCCTCCCACAGCAGCCCCCAGCCAGGACAGGCCGCTGGATGCCCCTTCCTGCCCATCCTGCCATCACACACACACACACACACGCACACTCCCAAGTACCTTTATCTTCAGGAGCACCCAGGACAGAGGAGGAGGAGAGAAGAACAAGAACAGAAGCAGGTCACCTGTAGCACTGAACCCTCTCCCTCCAGGATGCCAGGGGCCTTAGACCACGGAGGGACCACCAACACCTCTGGGCCGCTGGGGTGGGCAGGGGCTTTGCCAGGTGAGAGCAAACCCATGAACCTTCGAGACCCCAGCTGTCTGGGCCTGGAGACTGCAGTGTGACCCCAGGGTGTGGGAGTCTGCTGGGTCTACCTGCCAAAAGGTTCTGGGGATGTCCTCTTTACCCCATCCCCGTGGCCACCACTGCTGGTCAATCACCTGGGCTCCCGGAGGAGCCGCCTTCCTGATCCTGGCCTTGCTCCCTCGGGGTCCTTTGAAAACCTGTGTTAGGTCATGTTTCCCCTCATGGCTTCCACGTCACTCAGGCTCAAAGCCAAGCCCTTGCACAGCCAAGCTCCTGGTTGGTCCCATCTCCCCTTCTTCCCTCCCTCGCCCTGCACAGCCCACCTGACTCACCCAGGCCCACGCCGGCCTCTGGACCAGAGTTCTCTCCTTCTGTAGCCCTCTGCTGGCAAATCCTCTCACTTCCTTGTATCCTGTCTCCCCGCCCCCCCAACCCACACCACCCCCACCCCTCCCGAATGTAAGCCTCCACAGGCAAGAATCTTTGTGTGCAATCTCTGGGTCTCCAGCATCTACACCGGACCAGGAGCATCGGAAACCCTCAAGCAATATCTGCTGAACGGATGACACAAGGACCAGCATTTTCGGACCGCAGAGCTGCCCAAGCCAGAGCCAGTCCCAGCTCCCGTGTATTAGGCAACCACCACGTGCCAGACCCTTTGCCCTAATTATATGGCTGTTAACCACCCTGCAAGGTAGGTACTGATGCACCCATTGCACAGATCAGGAAACAGACTTGGAAAGGTGAGGTAGTGTGCCCGGGGACTCCAGAGTCCAAGAGAGAGATCACAACACCGCGCCAAGCATACACGGATCTGTGTACACAGCGTTTTCGGGCTGAGTCATTTCCTCGGGATAAATTCTCAGGAAAGAAGCAGGGAAGGCCCGCTCTCTGCAGAAATGTTACTTTGGGGAAGGTGCCAGTTCCCTCCATCTGTTCACGCTCATGGTCCCGTTTAGCCCAGGAAATACTATGTCCATCATACAAAGGAGTAGACTGCGGCCCAGGCGAGAGTGGGAGCTGGCCTTTGGTTGTTCAGTGAGTTGGGGTCTGCCTGGACTTTGGCCTATGCTATCCCCTAGTCTGAAATCCCCGTGCGGACATCTGAGTGTGGAGTGAGCCACTCCTCTGTCCCTAATGCCCAGCCGGGGGCTGGGGAAAGGGCTGCTGGGCTGGACGGGTGAACATGTGGTCCTGTGGGGCCCTCTAGCTCAACCCGCAGGTCGGGGGATGGCCTGTGGTTTGGGCTGGGCAGCATCCAGCCACCTTCCACCCCCGGGGAACACTTGTCGCATTCCCAGCCCAGAGGCAGAGCCTGTGGCCCGGGCCTCGGCCCACTGAGGCACAACTGGGCCCAATGAGGACGGGTGGCCCAAACCAGTCCAACAAGAGGAAACCCTGAGACTTTTCTGGGCACATTGGGAAGTGTGGGTGGTACACTGTGGCACTATCTTGCTGATCGATGGGAAAGAGGTTGAGAATGATGCCCCTAGATGGGGAGGATGGCGCCCAAACAAGGGACATCGTTTAAGACCCCGGATCCAGCCATACCTAAAACCGACCCTAGGTGAGGACTGTCAGATTACGTGAGCAGGGCAGAGCGGCAGCTAGGAAATGAGCCCACAGCATTGCATCTGGCAGGCCCGTCCTCACACCTACGGAAGGCCTGGCACAGAAACCCCCAGACCCAGCCACGTCCCACCACTCTGACCGTCCTCCCTCACCCCTGCCGAGACTGCTCTCTGCCTTGAGCTTCAGATCCCACCTCCTCCGCCCCCACACTTCCGGACATGGGGTAAGTGCTCTCCCTTCCCAGACCCCAGTTTCCCAGTCCATAAATGGACACAAACGTACCTGCCTCCCGGGGCCTGTGTGTGGCTCTAGTATGACCCCTTATCTAAAGCACCAGACGTAGGAGGGCTCAAAGCACACATTTCCCTGCCTACCCAGCCAGTCCTTCTGGAAGTCTACACTTAGAGGTTTTGAAAGCCCCACCTGGAGCAAAGGGAGGTTCTGGAGTCTGAGTTGCTGGGCCTTTGCCTCCAGCCTCACCTTCCCTGAGTTCCAGGCTCATGGTGTATCCACCAATTTCCCACCATCTCTGTAAAGACGCCCAGCAGATTCCTCAGGAGAAAAGACTGCCTTTTCTCCGCAGCCCTGCCCACATGGCCAAAGGCAGCTCCACGCGGCCTATGGCTCAGGCCAAATGCCTGGGGTTGCCCTTGGACCAATCCCCTCTCTCACACCCCAATCTGGTCCCTCAGCAAGTCACTGGCTGCCCTTGAAACTGCACCTGGGGGGCACCTGGGGGGCTCAGATGGTTAAGCACGGTCCCAGGGTCCTGGGATCAAGCCCCGCATTGGGCTCTCTGATCAGCGGGAAGCCTGCTTCTCCCTCTCCCACTCCCCCTGCTTGTGTTCCCTCTCTCGCTGTGTATCTCTCCGTCAAATAAATAAATAAAATCTTAAAAATATATATAAATAAATAAACTGCACCCGGGTCTACCTGTGCTCACCATCTCCGTCACTATCTCCCTGGCCAAAGCCACTGTCCACCCTCACCTGGACTCCATGATGCCACTTTGCCATCCCCGGGCACATCAAACCTCCTTGCACCCCAGGGCCTTTGCACTTGCTCTTCCCTCTGCCCGTCTGCTCTTCCGTGAGATGTCTTCAGGGCCCACTCCCTCACCTTCTCAGTAGAGCCTTCACTGACCACCATGCTTCGAATTATGACCCTCCAAACTCCCCACCCTCCTCCCTGCCTTTTTTTTTTTTTGTCCACAACTTCCCACCCTTTCACATACACATAATTTCCTTGTGTATTTCTTCCCTTCTGTGTCCTCTACTGTAAAGAAATTCCCGTGAGGGTGGGAGCATTTGTCTGCATTGCTGCTGCCTACTTCCTCATCACCTAGCCCAGGCCTGACACACAGTATGTCCCCAGGAAAGCTTTACCGAGGGTCTAAAATTCTCAGGTTTGGAGGACCTAGCGCTCTCCACAATGCTCCAACCCTGCACTTCCCCCAGTCCCATGTCCTCAGTGCCCCAGCATCTCCTGCAGCCCACCCCCATGCCTAGGCCCATCCTGCCTCTTATTCCACCAGGAAGGTGAGGCCGGGCAGGAGAAATGGGGCTTCTGCTCTGGCCAGGCCCAGCAGGGTGGGAACCAGAGCTGCTCTGGAGCATAGGCCGGAGGGAACTCCCCTGCAGCCATGCCCTGGGTGGGGAGGGTGGTGGCAGAAAGAGCTGGGGTCCTGGGAGCCCTCCCAGTGCCACCCTGGCCTCAGCCTCTCCATCCTCCGAGTGGGGCCGAGGAGAGCACTAAGGGGAGCACTGAGCTCGGAAGTCCCCGGGGAGTCAGGCAGGCCACGCAACGGACAGACTCACCTGCTGCGTGATGCCTCGTTTCTGGTTCATGGCGGCCAGGTAGTGCAGGATCAACTTGGTAGACTCAGTTTTTCCAGAGCCACTCTCTCCGCTGACGGGGCAAAGGAGCAGAGTGAGCACCCACCAGGTCTCTGCCTCTTCTGGGCTCCCCTCTCCCCTTACCCTTCTTTGACCTCCTATGGCACAAGAGGACATGGGTGGGCCGGCCCAGAGACGCCGAGTGATTTTTCCCAGCTCCCACAGTGGGTCTGGCCTGATGCAGACCTGTCATCTGAGATTCCTCCCATACATTTCCCCACCCCCACCCTGCCCCACGCACACTGAAATCCCCAGCCTGACCCACCTGATGATTATGCACTGGTTCTGTTTGGCATCAAGCATTTTGGCGAAAGCAAGATTTGCAATTGCAAAGAGGTGCCTGGAGAGACGGGCCACAGGTATCACTGAGACAGGACCCTGCCTCTCACACCCCTCAGGGGTCAGGTAGGAGAGCATCTCTGTCCACCCAAGCAGCCAGGTCTGCTCCACCCTTCACCCTGGGGAAATGCTCCCTGCCCCATTCTGGTCGGAGCCACAGTGGCCTCCAACCTAGGGAGGACTGTGGCCAGACTCGGAGAGAGACCACTGGGCCGAACAGGTGGGCTGCTCACCGCTAGGTGGCCCTACCCTTGGCTCAGGGGTAGGCGGGGACTTGCTGAGGTCAGGCAGAGGGACCCGGGAGAGCCCAGGACAGCCCCCTCCCCATCCCCAGAGACACTCACGGGGGATTTTCGCCCAGGGCCCGCCCGCTGTACTGCTCCACCTGCTCTGGGCCATAGATGCCGAACATTCGATAGGGGTTCACCGACACCAGGATGCTGCCGATGTAGGTCTGCCGGGCAGACAGTGGTCTCAGGGCTTATGCCTCCTCGTGGCCCGCCTCCCCTGCTTCCGGGAGCCTGTTTCCATGGGGCCAGGTGTCTGGCCGCCTAGCCTCCGTGTTTGCGCCTGGGGCCCTCTCACAGCTCGACAGGTCATCTACTCTGGTTGGGGAATTTCAGGCACTGTACCAGGCTGAGGCTCGGAGAAGGCTAAAGTGAGCAAAACCCTACAGCCGAGAATCTGCAAAGGCGGCTTTGTCAGCTGTCACGTACTTCATTTACGCATAGTCAGGGCCAGGCTCCAGAAGCTTCTGCCTCGAAGTGAGGTCAAATCTCCACTGCCCGGAGTGGGCTGGGAGTCGGGAGCCCAGGGTATTCTGAGGTGTCCAGAGCCCTTGTGGGTGGCACCCACCATCCTAAAATTCTCTGTGTTAGGATTTAGGATTTTAGAACCCCAGGCCCTAGCATGTTATACTCAAATGGTAGAAACCTCAGAATTCAAACCAGAGGCCACAAATGGGGGCTCAGCAGAGAAATCTGTGCTTCCCACTGTGGCCCCACAAGGCAGCTACCTTTCTGATCTGAGCCCCGGGACTTACATAGATGAGGTTCCGTTCAAATCTGGTCTTGAGGTTGGACAGCACGGTGGTCTCCTGGAGGTCTCTGGGAGGGCATGAAGAGGGGACATCTGGGCCCACAGAGAGGCAAAGTGATTTGCCCAAGGTCTCCCAGCCAGGAAGTGGTGAGGCTGGGATTTGAACTCAGGCCTGTGTGACTCACAGCTCTCTCTCTCTCTCTCTCTC